GAGTCCCGATCAGGCTCTGGTCGAAATACGCCGTGCCGAAGCCGTAGATGTAGTCCCTGCATTTGCCAAACAACTCAGTCCATTGCTTGGCGCAAAGGGAAAGGCACCGACACGGATCCTAGAACCTGGCTCTTGCGGAATACAGCGCTCCCATTTTTTCCTACGAACATGGTATCTTGCATTCCCCTGAAGGTCGAAGCGTAAAAAGACGCGTTTGCGAACCCGATGCCGAACGCAAGTGCCGGGCCTACGCCACCATTTGCCTGATGAGATCCTATGAGCAATGTCGGAAAAAAAGATGGAAGAACTTTACGGCTCGGTTCTCGAAGTTGATGTTGTACGCCTTGAAGTCCGTGCAGCCGAAGGCCTGGAAACCATGCGTAAGAAACATGAGGCAAGACAAACGTGGAAGACGAACATCTGGTATCGGGCCGGGCGTTCCTCCGTAGTACCCTGCTCCCGTCCATGCGGCGTATTTATTGGGCGCAACTGTAAGCACAGCCGAATCCGCGTTGTCCTGCAAGCTCGCAATTTGGGTCGTTTGGTTGATAAACGTCGTGTTGAATATAGTGACGAGATTCTGCGCGTCTGGGGAAGAAATATTGTGAATTTGACATCCGTGCACCTCCTGCAGATACCTACAAGAGGCAGGATGGTCCGTTTGTCCCAGCAACATCGTAGGGCCTGTTCTCGAGACGTTCACCGCCTCTTGGTAAGTCCCCGCGCCGATTAGAATGACAGCGGGGGAGTCATCTTTCGGTAGAGACGCGACGGCGGCTTGCACACTCGTAAAATGGGCATGAGAGTCGGTCTGAGACACATATATCGTCCCTAAACCGCCGGCCGCGAGTCAGAGCATTAAAAAGAAAGAGGCGGAATGAAAACCATCGAACCAGCTGGACAGAACAGCGTCGGGAGAAGCTTGGGCTTCAGTGTGCTCTGGCAGACGGCATATCTGGCGAAGGACGTAGCAGACGCACAGGCCGCGGAGGCAAGGGCAGCGGCGAGTAACAGATAGCACGGGGGAGCCATTTTTTTGGGTCAACAAACCCGCCAGTCAATTTATGGAGGACCGGGGCTCATGTGGTGCGGGAGCGTCGGGACGACGGCGCGGCGGTTCCCACTTGCCTGCACATGACTTGTCTGGTTGATTGTCAGGCGCGAAGACACTTTTAGACACTTGAGTGGTAAACCGTAAATCTCTCCGCATTAAAATCTTGTTGGAACATTCAAAGTAAACAGTGGCATGTAAAGTGTTGGAAGAGAGAGACAGCAATCAATATCGTCCCGATTTGTACTTGCCACCCACGGACATAACGGCCACCGTCGAGACTCGAAGGCGACAGACTTGTACCTGGCCGCAACGCAACCGCTCTCGCAGTTGACAACCAAAAACCCGAATAAATCGCCACAATTGCGCCTTTGCGCGAATTGCGACCCAAGGGGCAAACCGCAAAGAGCCAATCGCCGACATATTACTTTTTCGCACTTGCCAGACAGACTCGTCACCGACTAGATAAACACGCTAAACACGGTACACATATCTTGAGAACAGTTATCCAAAGAGCGTCCATCCGGCGGATTGGCCGTCGGATCTTTATGGGCGTCGAGGTGATAATGCGGTTAACGGGCTGTTGGCAGACGATGGTATATAATACATAACGGCGCGGACATCGATTACAATACCAACCATTTCCACAATGAGCGAAACTCGCACACAAAAGGCGCTCGCTATTACCTCGAAAGGTGGACCATTCACACTCATTCGGCACGCTATCCCGACGCCTGGGCCGGGCGACGTCCTCGTCAAGATGCAAGGCGTAGGCCTGAATCCGGCCGAGTGGAAGTTCCAGGTCGGCCTCTTTGACGACACCGAGTTCATAAATAGCGTATGTTTTCTCAATCGACCGCGCGGTGCCTTGACATCGCTGCCGCTATAGTACCCCGCATTTCTGGGGACGGAGGGAGCGGGAATCGTTGTCGAAGTCGGTAGCGATGTGTCAACTATCAACAAAGGGGACCGAGTGTGAGTCCCGCTTATTCAGGCGGAAGCGTTGTTAAATAGCTCGTGCAGGCTGTTCCAAGGCATCTCTCTTTCCCTGCTCTTTATAAGCATTTAATGGATGGGCCTTTCAATTAGGCTGGATCACGGCTGAAAGAACCACCTTCCAGGAATACGCGTTGGTTGAAGCTGAGCTGGTTGCAAGGGTACATATTGTGTTTTCATAACCTGGCCGTCCACTAAATCATGATCAGATCCCAGAGACTCTGACAACCCTACAGGCGGCGGCGATCCCAATGGGCCTTACGACGGCCGCCTTGGGGCTCGGCCACACGTTCCCCGCCTCCGTGACTGGACGTGGGGGAGCAGGGCTAAAGCCAATTTGGGAGGATGGTGCGAAGGGATATTATTCTGGTAGGGCCATCCTTATCTTTGGCGGGGCGAGTATGGTCGGCCAGTTCAGTAGGTCCCTCCACTCAAGAGACACGTCTAGAAATAACTTGAGGCCGCCTCTAGCCATCCAAATCGCCAAGTACCTCGGATTTTCTCCGATCATCGTCACCAGCTCCCTCAAGCACACAGACGGTCTCGTATCCATGGGCGCGACGCATGTTATCGACCGGTACACGACTGTTGTGCCGGCGGTCGAGAAGTTGAAGCGGGAGTTGAACGTCCAGATCGAGGTCGTTTACGACGCGGTTCATGTTCCCGTTACACAGGCAGAGGTTGATTTGATGGCTCCGAACGGCACGCTCGTGGGCGTATTTCCAGCACCCGATGAGTTGCAATTCAGGGATGGACGGCGGGCCACGTCTCCCATCGGGAGTTTCTTGCTGTACAAAGACCTCGGGAAGGAGATGTTCGCGCGGATTCAGGATTTCCTGCAGAAGGGAATAATCAAGGTTCGCTTTCTGATTTCTTGACTGACGAAGAAATGATCTGACGGACATTAGCCCGTGTCAGTCGAGAAGTTGGATAGAGGGCTCGCTGGAATTGCGGAAGGGTTGGGTAGGCTCCAGAGAAATGAAGTCAGTGGTAAAAAGTTAGTGGTAGACCCCACAGAAACTCCGGATTTCTAGTTTCAAGAAAAAGATAGATGAAATGGCATCGCCATTCATTGTCAATGGTGCTGGGACCTGACATCGATCCCCCCAAAAAACAAGCATTGCTTGAAACCCCTGCTATTGGATAATACATTTATGTATATACAGTACGAACGAGAAACCTTACTCCGCGAGCTGAACAGAACCGGTCATTCCTACTACTCCCTCGTCGTTCGTGCACCAAAGGGTGGCGTTATGCTCATTGGTCCAAGCTCCAGCGATCGTCATTGGGCGGTTAACTATGATGGGATTTCTGGCCCTATACTCGAAGTGCGCAATTCTCACCGCGGGTTTCTGGAGTATCGTGACTTCAAGAAGCATAAGCGCAGTCAAGGGACCGTGTACGAGTCTCTCTGGACAGTTGTTAAAGGACGTGCGTCTGCGAGTAACGGAATCACTAACCCGGGTAGCCTTCCTTCAGCTTTGCGTAGTCCGCGTCAAGATGGATGTGATGACCGTTGAACGTGAGCGCAGAGAAACGAAACAATGTAGTCAGGGTCGGAGTGAAAGTGAACGTGAAATCAGCGGTGGAAGGCAGGCCCTTGACTGATAGAGAGGGTCAGGCCCATCCAAGACGAGACAGAGGTAGACAAAGGCTCGCCGTCTCTGGGGACATTATTAACAGGGACAGAGTCGGCGAGATAGACGTGGACCCGCTCTTCCACGACTGAAGGGCGGCTCCTGCCCATCATGGTGACTTCGATTTTCTGATTCACAAATACCATAGGCGTCCCCTTCTCGAAACCTTTTTTCGCGACGGTTTCAACGGTCGAGATGGATTCTGCGGTTTCCCCGATGGTGAGAGGATTATGAGGATCTGGCCACCGCATGCGACCCCCGGCCCACATTCGTCGCGTGAACGGGATGGGCGGGCAGAAGTCGGCATCCGTTCCATCGGGACGTAACTTGCTCTCGGGGTTTCTGGGATGGAAAAAAGCAAGATGAGCCCCGTAGGAAAGTGGGGCTGAGGACAATGGTGCGCGATACGGGGCTCTGGTCCCATCCCGCGTTGGAAGAGTGATATAAAGATCCTCGAGACGTTCTTGGCTGAACTTGTCTCTGAGCACCAACTGCTTTGGAGAAGCAATCCAGGCATCAAGGGCCTCGACATCTAGTCGAGACAGATTGGATGAGGTCGAATAGAGGCGCCTCCGTAGCAAGAGTGGTGCTGCCGAGCTTGAAACCAGTTTGGCCATGGTTGGACGATCGGAAGAAGGCCGCCCGGGCCGGACTCGGAGTTGCCGTCGGAGATCAAAGTACGCCGCGTCTTGACCACGCTAAACCGTCTCTCGGGTTAGCTAGGCTCGTTTCAGCCTCTATAGTCAGCCTGGCGTGAAATCTGAAGACAGTCGTTCAGATCACGTATACTATAGAGGGTTGGCTGTTGTTCTCAGTGCTATGGCTCTTTCAAATCTCTATTTCTGCCTTGGCCCTTGTGAAGCCTGAGCTTTCAAATTCTCTGGTCCACTACTCTGATAGTGATTCAAATTCGAGTATCCTGGGCTGGAAACAGCGAGACCTCGCGGCACTGGCACGCAACTCCTAATACCCGATGCCCTGGACTGTGATAAAAGAAAAACATTACGCTTGGCCGGAACTGTCTTCGAGGCTCCTCTCCAGTAAAAAGGCTCTATTCAGCACTATTCACTGTGACTCTGGCAAGACTCTGGACCTTGGTCTGTTGGAGCCTTGGAGGTTCCAAATTGTCTCCCAGTTTAGCATGCAGATACTTGCAGTCCCCATCCCTTTGGCTGCAACCCTACAGAAGGTTTTCAAAACTCCAGGTCAATCTCGACCTTTTTTCTTCTCCTAACTTCATTCAAAGTTGGAAACTGTTCTCCGGCCTTCGAAGTTGAACTTCAAGATGTCTAAAAACCATTTCCCCAAGATATATCTGCCCCCTGGCCCAGCTGGTTAAGGCGTCCGACTGTTAAGGCGGCGAATTACGATTCGTGTCATTATGTAATCGGGAGATCGAGAGTTCGATCCTCTCGGGGGCAGGTCTTTTTGTACCTTCCACGTGGGTCGGGCTCGAACGATTCAATGTCCAGCAGGAACTTCCTTCTCTCTTTATCATTCCATAACTACCGTACTATAGGTGTGATGGCGGACACCGGAGTCCGGCGGACTTTCCCTCCAGCCTTTCCCTCCATCCACTCGCTGTAGACATTCACTCCACGTAAATCCCCCCAATGAATGAATTGAGCGACTCCCTCCAACCAAATTTTCTAAATTGCTCCAGACATTCCACGGAGTATAACTTCTGGACTGAATCACTTTAACAATTGACCATTCCTTCCAGCCAATCCCTTGAGCCATCTCCTCTGGTCAATCCACATAGCTTTTGTCTTCAGTAAAATACCAAAATAGTGGACTTGGTCTTTGTGCTCATGTCGTCGTCCACTGTGCTTGCAGTACAAATTCTCGAGCGTCTCTTGGCTCATGCTTCGCTCAAAGACAACATCCAATTCGGTCACAAAGGCCCGGTCGCTGTCGGCGCTGGTAAAGTCCAAAGGGTCCTTATTGAGCTGGCTGGGGTCTCGTACAGCGGCGTCGGCCTGTTGAGCATCTGCTTTCTGGTCTGCCTGGCTGGTATCTTTACGGGACTTGTCGATGTGGGCGCTGTTAAATTCCCAGGCACCATCCTTGAGCTGGCCGGGATCTCGTACGGTGGCCTCGGCGCTAGCACGCTCCTCGACGGTTCCTGTAGCGGATGACGCAGCGAGGTTCCTAGTGTATTGTCGCTGGAGGCGGTCCTTGAAGTATTTGCGCGTTCTGGATTGTGCATGCACGACGTCGGTGCCGGCCGACCTGATAGCAACGGCCATCTGTGTGTTGCGGGGTGTTTAGCTGGAGTATACGGAGGCGATCAACAACAGTTCTGACCGCCGCGAATGTCTGCGTTTGCACTGGCGTAGGGGTGATCTTGAAGGCGATTGGATCGTCAGGGTCTTCTGCTGCTGCAAGGAGCTTGGTGCCAAGAGCTCTATCGTGGACGAAGCGGGTTTCGAGCGTCCTGCGACGAGAATTACTAGGGACGAAGGGGGCCGTCGGATGGTAGGTGAGATGAGAAAACAGTCTGTTGACTACTTCGTTATATTTTTCAACAGCGGTGACAACTGCTGGGCCGGCCCTTGGTTTTGTCAAGAAAAAAAAAGGGTAAGAGAAATGAATTAGTTGAGCAAGGGCGTATGATAAAAGACATACGTCTGCTGCATCTCGAGCCTGTTGTGCTTCGGCGGGTGTCAAGTCCGGGTGTGCAGTACGCTTTGTGGCGAGCATTCCATTTTCCTGGGCTTTGCGGGCCTTGCGGACCATGGCCTCGACTGCGCAGTTAAGGTAGACATGTTTTCCAAGGGTCTCCTATGAATACAGATGGGCCTCCGTATTTGACCTACGAGTGAGGGTGGGTGTACCTTGAGAGCCTGACCGGGGAAAGCTTCTAGCCCGCCCGCGACCTCGGCAAGACGAAGGCCCGTCAGGTCAAAGTTACCGACGTTGCACGAGTAGTGGCGATGGAAACAGCCCTTGATCATGTGATTAAGGAGGTCTTGCGCCAGTTGCGCGCCCATTTGCAGGCTAAACTGTATATTGGTCAAGCGTGAGATCATGCCAGGACCATGTAAAAACCGACAGTGTTCCCGGTGTCGCGTCGCAACGTCCCGGCGCCACCTCCAGGCAAACCGGCTTTACGGGCCCAATACGCAAACGTGGTAGAAACACTGTGCGCGGTGATGACCTTATTGGTGTATTCGCCATCCTTCATTTGGACGAATCTGTTGCCATTAGCTCTATGGGAAACAGAGGCAACAACTAAGAGACTGACAGGGGTAGATGCTTCATCGAAGGCTTGATGAGAATCTCTGCCTCCTGGTTGGGTGCGGTGGAAAGAAGGGCGTCCCAACTCTGTGCCGAGTCAGATGCATGAAACTGGGGATGTGTATGGGGAATTACCTTGATCTCTAGCGTTCCTCTCAAGAAAAGATAGAACAAGAGCCAAACGTTAAGATCAAACAGGATGTTTGATGTCAGTTGTACGCTGTCGAGAGTGAACAGTAGCTCCATCGATTGTACAGTGTCGAGCGCGCCCTGTTGCTTAATTCAAGAGGGATCTGGTCTGGGTAGGGGGGCATACCTTGAGTTGATCAATGTGGAGATTGGAGCGCAAAGCAAAGACTCCAGGGAGACGAAACATTCTAATATGTCCCAGCGTCATAAACTGTGATCAAGTGGGTCAGCAGGCGGAGGAGTGGGATTGTTTACAACGCACCCTGTCTAGTGCAGCGAGAGCAGCCGTTCTGGGAGCAAGGCTGGACGGTCGCAAGGCGAGAAAAAAGGAGAACAGTGTCCTGACAATAATTTGAACGCCGGTACGGCAGTGAGATGCTGGGGCTGCCAGGATCTCCTGCATGAACAGTTGAACCTCTGCGCGGCCGTAGAAGAGCTTGGGGTTGAGGTTACGATCCAGCTTCTCGTCCTGGATGACTGCGAGACGGTTTTAAAAATGATAAAGTGGGAGAGAGAGAGAGCACTAAGATACTCACGGTTGTGGACGACTCTACGGAGCTTTTTGAACAAGCCGCCCCTGGTAAGCAACATGGTACCCGCTCGTCGGTTCGAGTCTTCGGGGTCTCGTGTGAAGAGGGCAATGTTTTCGATTAGGGAACGGTTCCAGCGCGCAATGGTGCCGGCCTTGAGAGATTTACGGCCAGGGAGGGCATCTGTGTGGCGGAACTGGATGGTAGTTCAGCCCCGGTGGACCAAAAAGAGTCTGAGAATAGTGAGCGTACGAGCCAAGGGATGTATCGGGGTGCCCAGGCTTTGACGACATCGACGTCCCAATGGCAATCTTCAGGGATTGGATTGTTCTTGCCAAGGTGTAGGAGACATGCGCCCCAAAGAACCTGGTGTCGACGGCGCTCGACAGGGTCGTTTATGGTGCGCAGATTGGCCAGCCAGGTGTCGAGCTGATGCAACATGTCCTCGGCCTCGTCTGCGGCTACATTGCCTTCGGCTCCTACCAGGCCTCTTCTCAATCTGCTCTTCTGGGTGCGCTGGAGCTTTTCAAGGGCGGCAGCAGATTCCGTGAGCGGGATTGGGTCGGGAATGTCGCCCACGGGGCGGGAATAAGTGTCCCCGGACCAGGGCGCATGGGACTCTGGGCCCGAGTCCATTGGGGAGGGAGTGGCGGGAAGAGGTAGGGAAAGATGTTTAGGGACGTGTTGGTCCAAGTTGATTGAGCACACATTTTTATCTTTTTCCCTGTCTTTTTTATTTTATTTTTTCGCAAGAAAGAGTATACAGTATTTATTACAGGATGTGATGTGCAACGGCGCCAAAAAAAAAAAGTCTTGTTTCAAGCGATAGACGCGCTGAGCTCCGTGCAGGCCGCAACTACGGTGGTAACAAATTCCAGGAGTTTGGCTTGGAGCGCCTCTGAAGAGGTGTGTGAGTTGAAGATGAATGAAAGAAGGAGGAAAGCTTTTGCCTTGCTGGTCTGCGCGCACATGGACGGTGTCGTGGATGAAGAGGGCGGTCGATTCGAGCTGAGCCTGGTCGTCGGCAATGAGACGCAGGCCATGGCGGACCCAAGCCAAGGTCTCAAGGGTGTCCTGGAGCATGTGCTCAAGGAGGCCTGGATTGGTGGGTGTGAGTCCGATTTGGAAAAGAATTGGCATGGTAGAACGCACGCTGCTTGAAGTCGAGATCGAGGGCAAGACCCTCCTCGACGACTAAATGAGGGGAATTGAGGTCGAGTTGGAGCTCCGGGGCGTCGAGCTGCTGAATGAGGTGCTGATGGGCGGCCTCCATTTGGGGGAGGCGCGACGCGACACGACGGTATACGGTTGTTTTTCCGTGTCCGTGTGTATGGGGTTGTTTTTCCTTGTCCGTGTGTTTGCGGTTGTTTTTCCATGGTATGTTTGTTTTTCCGTCTCCTGTTGCGGTTGTTTTTCCGTGGTATATTTGTTTTTCCATGGTATGTGTACTGTTGTTTTTCTGTAATGTAGTGTTCGGCGGCAGGGTGGGGCATGCGGGTAGTAATTGCCCGCGTATTTGGTGCTGAACTGAGGTCAATGCGATGTTTGGGACGCGATAAGGGTAAAGAGAAAAGAAAAAAAAGAACTGCAAAAAAAAAAAGAGTCATGACAAGGTTCGAACACAGAACTTCAAGATGATGATAGTAGAATTAGCACATTCAACAATAACCATTACACTAGAAGACCCTTTGAAAAGTTCCTCAACATAATGTACTATCTCGGTCATGCTTCTGTCCGCACCCCTTTGCCTTCGCGCCGACCCCAGATTATTCCGCACGCACCCACCGTCCAGATTAAGGTGCAAGGCTCGCTCAAGCCTAGCTGGACCTGCGAGCGGTAGAAGCAAAGCCACACAAGTAAATGAGCAAACTAGTGAGGAAAGAAGCAGAAAGACGACCCACTTGCAATCCTACAGCTTCCTCAAACTCCTCCTCCGAAAAGGTGCGTGGCTGACAAACGTCCGGACAACCTCGGCGAGTGTGGGCCTGCACGCGAGGAGCATCTGCGTGTGCTTTATCGTGTGCATCTCGAACTCCACGGGTGGCAGCGGGATGAACGTCACGGGTCACAGCACGAGCGCTCGGGATGCATGCGCTGCTCCGGAACGCGCGGCGGATTCAGGCCTGTTGCGGACAGTGCAATCGCACCCATAGGAGATTGAGGCAGCTGAACTGCCGAGTGGGCGTCTGCACGGCGGGCATCGGGGGTTGCGTAGCTGCGGGGAGGCCATGCACGTAAGGGGTTGTGCATGCCCAGACTCAGCCGCTTGAAAGTCTTGGTGTTCGCCGGTGAAGGTTTTATGGCTCTGTGCCAGCGCGACGTCAGACGTGGACAGAACTGGGGGCGGACAGTGTCAGCGGGTAGGTGTGCAATGGATGTAAGCCCGGGGCCGACGGTGAAGACGCGCATCGAGCGCAGGGGCCAAGGAAGAGTGGGTACAACCTGCACTGGTGTATCCCACAT